CCGCGTACCCCCGTTGCACCCCTCTTTCTCTTATTCAAAGCCCTTAAAAACACAATAGGAGCATCTTCGTCATCAGTTGATGTCTCTATTGCTGGTGGAGGGGCATTCTCTGATTGCTTTATTTCCATCCCAGTGTCCTCCCGCAGAGTGTCTGATTCCAAACAACTCATTCGAAGTATAAATATTAAGAAAACATAGCCCCTTCTATCTAAACTTAACAATTCCATAGTAAACCTAACAACTGATGCCTAAACACATGGTGAAAAAGTTGCTAACCTATACAAGTTTGCGTCTCCCCATCACCTGCAGAAGGGACTTCAACCGCCGGCGTTATTTCCCTTCCAGTGCCCTCGCGTTGAGTGCCTGTTTCTGATAATATTCAGAGTATAAACAATAAAAAGCTTAACAACCAATACGTAGACATAACAACCAATCTCTAACATATAGTACAAAAGCAAGCTAACTTGTACAAGTTAGTAGCTCCTTCGCTGGGGGGACACCTTCTCTCCCTTGTTTATTTCTGCCTCAAGAGCCTTGTCAACAGCAGATGCCTCTGGTGGAGGTAATTCTCCTGGCGGAGCATCTTCACTCTCCTTGTGGATATCAGAAAACAATGGTTGTGGAGAGGCCCTCCCTGTTGGAGGGGCCTCGCTCTCCTTATTAGCTTCATCAAATAATAATGATTTATTGACATCCCCCTCGTACTGTACATCAATGCCACCCACGGTGCCTGGAGTGTCTGATTCAAAAAATAAACACAAATGAGCTTAGGTACTTCATTGTCAAAAAAAACATAGCATCAGTTACATAACCTTAAAACTAACCAAGATACTTAACAATCAATCTCCAACCTTGGCAATAAATCCCTGACCTTAACATTAGATACGTAAAGTTAACAATACATTCTTAACCTTAACAATAAATCCCTAACCTTAACATTAGATCAGTAAAGTTAACAATACATTCTTAACCTTAACAATAAATCCATATACTTATCAATCAATTTTTAACTATAACACGCAAACGTAATTGCAAGCCATATCTAACCTGTACAAGTTTGCGGCTCCATCAATGAGCTGGACACCAATCCTGTAGGGCTCTTATCCTTGTATACAGAGAGGGTTCCGGATCGTGCTTCACTTAGTTCCTCTCTCAGTCTTTTATTTTGAGCAGACAGCTTAGCCACCTTCACAGAAAGAGCACTTATCTTTACACGGTCTGCAGCAATCATACCCTTGAATTTATTCTCGTTCTCGCGACGTAATGCTTCGTTCATTGCCGCGATGCTCTTCCAGTAGATAACTTGCTGAGGCCATTCCGTTTGCTCAACTGCATCATTTGGATGCTCGGCGTCTTCATCAATATCCTGTGGCATCACATATGCAATGGACAGGTAGAGTATTATTAAAAGGATTAATTAATTCAAAAACAAATGAAATCCACGATTGCTAAGTTCTTACAAGTGCATCAATTGGGATGTCGTCATCTTCTTCTCTCCTCTTCTTCTTGTGAAGAAGGTCTATTGGGCCACGAGCCCTGCCGGCGTCTACTGCAGCCGGACCCTTAATCCTCCTCTTCTCTCTCTCTCTCTCTCCTCTTCTCTTTCTCTATCCCCTGCTCCTTCCCCCAAAAACCTCCCTCGATTCTTTGAAGTTGTCCATGTTGCTGTGGAAGCTTTATCGTAGCTTTGATTGCTTTCGCAACAACAGTGTCCAATCTCAAAGAACCAGCAACGTCCCCAAGTCTCACCCAATTTGTCAGGGGAGGCCTCACCGTACAACCAAGTGCTGGCTTCTTGATGCCGGTGAGTTCATAATACCACAACTGCACATTAGAGAAATAAAAACTTAACAAACACCTTCATCCGTAACAATTAATAAGTAACCCTAACAATAAAAATGTAACCTTAACAACCAAACCGTAATATTAACAACCAAACCGTAACTTTGACAACGAAACTGTAACATTAACAACTAAACCCTAACCTTCACAATCAGTAAAAAACATGATTACTTACACAAACTAGAGGGGTACACCCTTGCAGATATAATGTCGTCTTCCCTGGCTCAGGACCCTTCAGTGCCCTCTCTATCGCGTCAGATGTCTCACTGAATATATAGGTCCCCCAAGCAGTGTTGTTGACCTGTTCGATGCTGTCGACGTACTTGAATAAATGCCTAGGAACGCCGGAAACACTGCTTGGACACCAAATCATGCTCAGCTGATAGAGGATCTGTAGCAGGACAAAGTCCTTCACATCTCAGCGATCAGAAGATAGTACCAGCTTCAAGAGCAGGTCCTCCACATTGCGTCTGGTGGGGCCTCCTTTGGGGGGAGCTATACTGCTGGAACCACCCGCCTTTGGTTTGTCAAAAAACCTGGACCAAATCCTATTTTTCCTGTCCCGATTGTGGTCAACATGAAGCCCCTCATTGGAGAACCATGTATGCTCCATTACCCACTCAAGGTTGAATGAGCTTGTGATCTCTTCTCCATCATTCCTATTGGTGAAGACGAATTTTTTGCTCTTCTTGTCCCACTGACTCAAAATGTGCTCAAATGTGGGAAGATCGACACCAGGTGGGCCAAATTGGACGTAGTGTCTGAATACACTATCTTCGTAGGCCGCAAAATGCCTTGGCCCCATACGCGTCACCAAATTCTGCATGAAGTCGTGATAGGCACCGAAGCTGGCGGTGGGCCGCAACGTAATAGCTAGCTTTGCCCTTTTTCTACAAAACAAAAACACAAGACGAGAGCATTTTTGAGTATAATCAGTAAACATAACAACTATGCTGTAAATTTGTGGGTAAACCAACAACCTTAACAACAACCCCATAACCTTAACAACAAAAACCTAACCTTAACAACAAAAGCCTAACCTCAACAACTAAACATTAACCTCAACAATAAAGGCAGTAACCAACAACCTTAACAACAACCCCACAACCTTATCAACCAAAACCTAATCTTAACAACCAAAGCCTAACCTCAACAACCAAACACAACCTCAACAATAAAAGCATAGACCTTGCATGTTAACAGTAACCTCAACAGCTAACAGACACCGTAATTTTAGACCTTCCCACCAGACTAAGAGCATTATCAATCAAACCATAACCTTAACAACATAAAACTTGCGGTAAAAATTACCTTTTGGGTGCTGCCACGTGCTTCTCTTTTTCTCCTCTCTGTAGACCAAGGAGCGCTCTAGTGGCATCGTTGGACGCGCCGGTGGTGCTGGTGCTGCCCTCTAGACCTTCGCGTGGGCCTACACTTAAATTTTGAGGCGACCTTCTGGGATGAGAATGGCTGGTTGCGATGTCCTCTAGAGCATCACCAATCGCAGCTCGAGCTTCAGATTCAGCCCGCACTGCAGTTGTATGGGCTCTTTCTGAGATTTCGAACCGCTGGGCATCATCGCTTTCGTTGTGGTCGGCATTGAGGTTGGCTTTGGGGGTTGAATCGTCGCCCATTTTGATCCCTTTGCTTTGATTCAGTTTGCGTTGGGGTCGGTTGATTTAGGGCTAGGGTTTTGAATTGGGTTTCTGGAGTCGGTTTGCTTGCAGAAGAGAGAGATGACAGGGTACGGACGAGGAGGTAACTCATAACGGGGAATTTTAAACGTAAGGGTATTTTGGGCATTTCGAGCGGGGTTTAAACGGAGTTAGGCCTGGGGATTCGTTTTGGGGGCTGGAAGAAAATCGGGGGCGGTTTTGGGGGTAAAAGGCACGTTGAAAAAGTCTTGGGGGGGCAGAGCACGTTTTGGGTTATTTTGGGGGCTGGAAGCAATTTTCTCTTTAATTTAAGCAATTCCGCTTCAAATTTTATGGTGATAGTTTGCTTAATGATTGCTTAGTTACATATATTGAGAAAAATATATATTTTAAAGTTATAAAAGATACGATTATATACCTTTCTCAAAATATAAAACCTCATCGTAGACAATTGTGACTTTTTTTTAAAGTGTTACTTATATAATGATGATATCACTCTTTAGAAACTATAAATCCGCTTTGCTTTGCGTGATATCCTCCAAAGTTTTGAAGTGTTTTTTATATTAGTCCAACAATCCTTCATATTTTAAAATTAGTCACTCGATCTTCATATTCTAAATTAGATCCCTAAATTCTTAAGCATTTCTAAATTAGTCCTAGAGATGCCATATTTCGAAATTGGTCTTCCAAATCTTTTAAGTGTTTTGAAATTAGTCCCACTTGTTAGCACAAAGTAGTTGGGGGACCATTTTCAAAACATTTAACAGATTTGGGGTCTAAGTTCGAAATATGAAGATTTGGGGGATCAATCTTAGAACACTTTAAAATTTGTGGGACTAGATCCGAAATATGAATGGTTTTACTAATATTGAAAAACACCCTAGGAATTTACAGTGGGTCCACATAGGATCTGTACCGGGGACCGGAGCCTGAACCCAGTAACATACAACGATCTTCGCCAAAGTTCCCTGTTCTTTAGGTCGATCCTCTCTCTCCATTTCCCTCCAAATTCATATCAATAGCAACCAAAATGCTTCGACCAAAACTCCCTCCAAAATCTCTTCTCCCGCTCCTCAAACTCTCTCAACCTCTCACAACAACAACAACATCATCATCATCATCTACTTCCTCATCCCAAGTCTTCACACCCAAATGAAAGAACCCACGCCGCAACCCGCCGGCCCCACCGACCCCTCAGACCGAGTCACCCGCTCCTCCGCCGCCGCAAGTCTCCTCGCGCAAACCCCCTATTCCTCGTCAACCCAGCAAAGCCCCAACACGTGTCCCTCCCTCATCTCCGCCTGCTCCTCCTGCGGCGCAGCCCCTCAAAGCCGCTATGTTGCTCATTCCGCGTCACTCGACCGGCCTCACCGACTCGCTCGTCGAACCTTCGACGTCATCGTCCGACACCTTTGACAGCGCAGACTGCCGATCCTGCACCGTCTGCCTCCAGGCCCTGCCGCCGCCAGACACTACGGCGGTGGTGTGCCGGGGGCACAAGCCTCGTTCTTCCGCAGAATGCTCGAATCTAAGGCCGTTGATGTCTCGGTCTATGCCACCGCCATTGTTGTGGATGGGCTCTGCAAAAATGGGGACGTTGACGTTGCACGCCGGCTGCTCGATGAATTGTGCGAGAGAGGGTGGGCGGCGAATATCGCCTCATATAATTCCCTTGTCAAGGCATATTTGGAGAAAGGGGACACGAGTTCGGTGGATTTGATATTGAGTGAGATTGATGAGAAGGGTATCGGTCAAAGCATCAGGACGTATACACTCATAGTGGATGCATGCTCGAAGTCCGGAGACATTGATCGAGCAGAGAAAGCATTTCATATGGCAAGAGATAAGGGACTAGCCGCCGATGTCTGGTTATACACAACAATGATCAAAATGTACTGCAGGGCAAATAAGATGAAGCAAGCATTTGCCCTATTGATGCATGCTCGAAGTCCGGAGACATTGATCGAGCAGAGAAAGCATTTCATATGGCAAGAGATAAGGGACTAGCCGCCGATGTCTGGTTATACACAACAATGATCAAAATGTACTGCAGGGCAAATAAGATGAAGCAAGCATTTGCCCTATTTGATGAGTGCGTCAACAAGGGACTTCAACCTAATGAGCGAACATACGGCATTTTAATTGATGGACTCGCTAAGCATGGTCAAATGTACGCCGCCGAGATGTTGATTGACGAATTGCAGAAGAAAGGACTCAAATTGAACCTCATAATTTTCAACAGTTTGATCCACGGATACTGCAAGAAAGGAAACCTCGACAAAGTACTAAAACTGCAGGAGACCATGGAAAAGAATGGGTTAAAACTTGACGCTTTCACTTGCAACACGATAGCTCACGGATTGTTCAACGTAGATCGATGTAATGAAGCAAAAATTGTCTTGAACAAAATGGTCGAGCAAGGAATAGCCCCAAATATGGTAACATACACTACACTTATCCACATTTATTGTAAAGAAGGCGACATGGTTGAAGCGAGGAGAATATTTCGTGACATGGAGAGCAAGGGGGTGAGCCCAGGGCCCGCCACATATAATGTTATGATCGATGGGTACTGTAAGAAAGGTAAAATTCGTGAGGCCGAGAGGTTTAGGAAGGAGATGGAGAAGAAGGGGATGGAGCCTGATCTGTACACGTACACGTCACTGGTGCACGGGCATTGCTGCCACGGTAAGGTGGACGTGGCTGTGAAGTTGTTTGAGGAGATGAAGGGGAAGAGGGTGGGCCCCAGCGTGGTGACTTACACTGCGATTATATCAGGATTGTCGAAGGAGGGGAGGTCGGAGGAGGCGTTTAGGTTGTATGAGGAGATGGTTGATTCAGGGTTGAGTCCTGATGACACCGTGTATTCTTCTCTTGTTGGGAGTTTGCATACGATTAAGGAAGAAACAAGGGAGTGATGCGGAAGCAAAAGGAGACCAATTTTACAATTTCAGACTCTCTAAACATGGCCTAGATTGTTTTAGTCAATATCTTTTTCTTGTAGACTCCAATTGACTCTCCATTTGAAGTATTGGAAAGATGAATGAATCTATTTTCTGTTGGGGATTCGAAACAATCAATCGAACCCTTGCCCTTCTGGACCTTGGGTTGAAAGTAGGAAAGTATAAAAATTCACCACAAATAAAGATCAAAACTTGCAGGAATAATAAATGAGACGAACACACAGATTTAACGAGGTTCAGCAACGTGCCTACCTCCTCGGGAGCCACACCACACAATTCTTTTGATTAATTGAAGAAAAAAATACAAGCTCTCAAACTAGGGTTTTATCTCTCTGAGATTCTTTCTTTTTCTGCTGTCAAAAGTTCTTTTTCATATACTACAAAGTCCTAAAAAACGTTTAGGTATATATAGACTCCTGAAAGAAACAAAATCCAAAACAGTTTAGGAAATTGTTTGACTGCGTCGCGATCGATCATGACGGTCGACCGCGCAGGTATTGCGGTCGACTGAACCAAATTCCCGAGAGCAGAAAACATTACAGTGTTGTCGCGGTCGATCGCTACGGTCGACCGAATTGATTCATGAGACAAAAAATCCCTATAGGGTCCTCACGGTCGACCGCCTTCAGCTCCAGCCTCTTCTCAGCTCTGTGCACGTTCGCGGTGTGCACGTTCGCGGTCGCCCGCCGCGGTCGACCGTGCAGGCCTTCTCCTGTTTTTCTCGATTTTCTCCCTTGTTTTGGTTCCAGCTCCGGCTTTGACTTTGGGTCTACACTTTAGACTAACAATCTCCCACTTGGAGACCAAGTGCCATCAGCGAGTTCACCCGAACTCTCCCTTCTTCGCAAGTATCTTCTCCTTCCCGGAAAATTCATTTCTTTAATCAGCAATATCCCGGCGATCTCGCCGATCCTCGTAGTGTGGCTCCGCCTTCGTCTTCTACTCGTGAAGGCCAACTGAAGTTGCGCACAACTCCAGTTTCTCAATGGTGACTGTCTTCGTCAACATGTCCGTCGGATTTTGACTCCCTAAAATCTTCATTAAGTGTAACTTTCCGTCTTCAACTAGCGAGCGTATAAAATGGTATTTTACGTCGATGTGCTTTGTTCTGGCATGATATATTGGATTCTTGGCAAGATGTATAGCGTTCTGACTATCACAATAAAAAAACTCCTCTCTCTTGCTTCAGATCTAACTCTTCCAAGCACCTGTTCAACCAGATCATTTCCTTGCTTGCTTCGGTCACCGCGACATACTTAGCCCCGGTTGTAGATAAAGTCACAATCTTCTGCAGACGTGAGACACAACTCACTGTTATCGACGCTAAGGTATAAACATACCCCGTGGTGCTTCGCTTCGTATCATGATCAACGGCGAAGTTCGTATCCACGTATCCCTGCAGTACCAACTCCTTCCTCCTAAAACATAGTGATTTGTTCGTTCTTCCCCTCAAGTACCGCAATATCCACTTCACGGTCTCCGAATGCTGCTTCCCTGGATTGCTTGCAAACCTACTCACAACTCCCACTGCATAGGCGATGTCCGACCTCGTGCAAACCATCGCGTACATGAGACTCCCAATGGCTGAAGAATATGACACTCTGCTCATATGTTCTCTATCTGCATCTGTCTTAGGCGATTGATCCTCAGATAGTTTGAATTGACTTCCAAGGGGCGTGCTAACAACTTTAGCATTCTGCATGTTGAACCTCTGAAGTACCTTCTCAATGTATTCGGCTTGGCTCAATCTCAACATCCCTTCAGCTTCATCCTTACTGATTCGCATCCCTAGAATCTGCTTCGTTGCACCCATATCCTTCATTGTAAATTTTTTTACTAGCTGCTTCTTCAAACTGTTTATATCTTCTAAACACGGTTCTGCTACCAACATATCATCAACATATAATAACAAGATAATGAATCTGGACTCGAACCTCTTGAAATAACAACAATGATCCGAATTGTATCTTCTGTAGCCATTGTTTTGTATGGATTTATCAAACTTCTTGTACCACTGTCTCGGAGCATGTTTCAAACCATATAAGCTCTTCTTGAGCTTTCACACCATCTCTTTTTTTTTTCTTCAATAAAGCCAACAGGTTGCTTCATGTAAATTTCTTCATCCAAGTCACCATAAAGAAAGACAGTCTTCACATCTAACTGCTCAAGAAAAAGGTCTTCTGCAGCCACCAAGCTCAACACCACTCTAATGGTTGTGAGCTTCACAACAGGAAAAAATATCTCCATATAGTCCACTCCTTCCCGCTGTTAAAACCCATTCACTACTAATCTGGCATTGAATCTCTTGTTTCCATCACTCTCCTGCTTGATCCGGTAGACCCATTTGTTATGTAAGGCCTTCTTCTGTGCAGGTAGTTTGGCTAACTCTCATGTCTCATTAGTGAGTAGAGAATCCATCTCCTCCTGCATCACATACTCCTACTGTTGAGATTCACTCACTTGCATTGCCTCCTCATAGCATTCTGGTTCACCACTATCTGTTAACAATAAGTAATCAAGAGATGAAAGATATCTGAGATTTGGTTTGGGTATCCTGGATGACCTCCTAAGCTCCACACCCTGGGTAGTTGCTTCTGCACCTGGAGCCTCATCCGTTCTGTGATCAGAATAAACATCATCACCCCTATCTGGAAGTTCCTCTAAATCCATGTACTCGGATCCACCTGCATCCGAAGTGCTGTTCCCACTGTTTTGACTATCCTTGGCATTTTTCCTGTTCTTGTACATCACCTCCTCATTGAATATTATGCCCCTACTTATGATGATCTTCCTGTTCTTCTCATCCTAAAGACGATACCCGAACTCATCAATACCGTATCCAATGAATGTGCACTTCTGTGACTTAGCCTCTAGCTTGTCCCTGACGTGATCACTGATATGAACATAAGCCACGCAACCAAATACCCGCAAGTGTGAGAGATTTATCTTCTTGTCACTCCAAACTTTCTCTGGAATCCCAAAATCTAATAGAACTAATGGCCCGTGATTAATAAGGTAAGCTGCCGTATGCACCGCATTCGTCCAAAATATCTTAGGCAGACCTGCATGTAATCGTATTTTCCTGGCACGCTCCGTCAAGGTTCTGTTCATCCTCTCTACAATGCCGTTCTATTGCGGCATCCCTGGAGTAGTCCTCTCTAAACGAATACCATTCGTAGCACAGAACCTCTTGAACTCCTCTAGCTCGTATTCTCCTCCATTGTCTGATCTCAGACACTTCACCTTCAGATCTCTCTCGTTCTCCACCATGGCCTTCCACTTCTTGAAGACTCTGAACACCTCTGACTTGTTCTTCATGAAGTAAACCCACACCTTCCTCAAGTGATCGTCGATAAAGGTGACATAGTATCTCGAACTGTCAAAAGAAGACACACTGGCTGGACCCCATACATCTGTATGAATCAACTCTAGCTTCTGAGCCTTAGGTAGCCTTCCACCCTTTTGGAAACTAACCCTCTTTTGCTTCCCAAAGATACAATATTCACAAACGCCGACTTCCACGGAGTCGATTCTGGTTAGCTTTCCCTGTAAATGTTGGATCTTCATCCCCTTCTCGTTCATGTGCCCTAGCCTGTTGTGCTATAGATCTGTACTCTCTTTGCTAGCTGCAATTACGAGGGTGTCACTCGCATATAAGGTAAGGTAGAGAGTTTCTAGTTTGTTTCCTCGAGCAACTATCATCTTACCGTTGGAGATTCTCTACGAATCCCCTGTGAATGTCGAAACATAGCCTTCTGCTCCAAGCTGTCCCAACGAAACAAGATTCCTTTTCAGATTCGGCACATATCTCACGTTCTTCAAGGTCTACTTAGAGCCCTTCGTCTGAATCTGCACTTCACCCTTTCCAACAATATTACATGGCTCGTTATTCCCCAAATATACTTTTCCAAAGTCTCCTGCTACATAATTTTGGAGAAGCTCCTGAGTCGATAACCCAAGAATCCGAGTCGCTGTCCATAGCAAGGATCAAGGCATCCTGCACGATATGAGCCTCCTGCTCACCTGCATCCTTCTTTGGACTCTTGTAGATTAAAAACATATGACCCTCCTGCCCGCAGTTCCAACACATTCCTTTAATAGGCCTAACCTTCGAGTTCGACCTCTTCTTCACTGATTTCGACCGATTCCTGTTCTGGTTTCCTTTCTTCTGGCTTCTGCCTCTTTGTTCGAAGTTTAGGGATAAACCTGAACCTTCTGATTCGAACGATTTCCTTCTAACCTCCTTGGATAGAATCATGCTAACCACCTCACTCAGCTTCAACTTTTCCTTCCTCGTCGAATTGCTGATTGTCATCTCACAACCTGTCCAACTATCCGACAACTACGATAGTAACAGTAGGGCCTGCACTTCATCATCAAACGTGATGTCTACAGAGATAAGCTGATCAACAATCGTGTTGAACTCGCTGAGGTGCATCGTGAAGGACCGTCATTCTGCCATCTTGAGGTTGAAAAGAGTCTTGACGAGATGCACCTTGGTTGCTCGTACATCTTCGCGAGCGATTCCATAAGCCCCACCGTCGTCTTCTCTCTTAAGATATTGTGGGCTACTGATTTGGCCAGTGACAACCGGATTTTCACTAGAGCCTTCCTATCCAGTATCTCCCAATCATCATATGACTCCTCTTTCTTCTGTCACTTATCCTTACCCATCAACGGGCGATACAAGTCCTTTTGGTATAGATAGTCCTTCATCTGCGACTTCTAGTAGGCTAAGTCTGAGTCGTCAAACTTCTCGATCTTAGATTTAATTTCCTCTGTTATGGCTTTCACACAAATTGCTGAACGAAGCTCTGATACCAGTTGTTGGGGATTCGAAACAATCAATCGAACCCTTGCCCTTCCAAACATTGTGTTGAAAATAGGAAATTAGGAAAATTCACCACAAATAAAGATCAAACCTTGCAGGAATAATAAAGGAGACGAACACACAGATTTAACGAGGTTCGACAACGTGTCTACGTCCTCGGGAGCCACACCACATAATTCTTTTGATTAATTGAAGAAGAAATACAAGCTCTCAAACTAAGGTTTTATCTCTCTGAGATTCTCTCTCTTTTTCTACTGTCACAAGATCTTTTTCATGTACTATAAAGCCCTA